GAATATGCTATTAGAAGAGTTAGCGTAAGCCTTCCCTGTCAATCTGTGGAATGATACTTTGTCCTGTGTTCTTAGTATCAAATGGGATCAAAACCTGTTTTCATATAATGTGAAGTGCTGAATCAAGTTATTCCAGTCAGAACCTTGAGCTGTAGGTATCTTCCGTTTAAGAAACTCCTTAAGCTGCCTATCAGTGTGTGCCAACTTGTAGGAAATAAGGATGGAATAAGAGGATTATGGCAAGATGAGACAAAATGTAATCACCACCTTGAAATTGCCCTCTCTCCACCACTGACCCAGACTGCCTTATAACCAAATTCTGCTATAAGAGATTATTAAATATCTAAATTGCTATTTCATGTTTGTTCCTGACATGATACAGTTTTTCCCTGCATAAGGAGTTACCTCCCTCTGACCATTTTTTATGCTGGCAGCATGTGACCTGTCTGCTGGTCTCCACTGGCAGCACTAGCTGGAATGAGAAGACTTTAGCTTAGTATTGCTTTCACATACTGAAGACTAGACTTCCAGCTCACACAGGAAGTTTGGTTTGTAAAACTCTGTGGATCATCAGGGAAATCCATAAAGTTTCTTCCCTGTTTGGAAGGACTGGTAAAGTGTTTCCAGATCCTAAAATAGCAAGACATCTATCATGAGCTTATAGCAGCTGTCACACCTACAAGTTATTCAGGACAGGAAGCTTGCCCCCTGTCCTTTCACCCATCTCCAGGGGATCATTCTTGTACTATTTATAACTATAAACTGATTTAAAGTTAATTTGTAAGGGGGCATCTAATGGTATGCTTTGCATATGTTTTCTCAATAGCAGTATTGGCCATTATGAAGGTACTAGTGTGGTATATGACAGAAACTGAAAGTAGGATTAAAAGGAAAGCAATTTGCAGTAATGTTAACCAAGCTGAATGTAAAATCTATCTCTCAATTCAGGAAATATGTTCAGTAAGAGCAGCAGAAGTCTCCCCTTTTGCTTGTGTTGATTGATTGTGATTGCTTCATTCAGCCCTTACAGTGAGAATGTTATAAAATGTTCTGTGTGTATGTGTGTGCATATTATACTGCATTTTTCTAACATATTTACACATGAACACGTACTGCCCAGAAGAAAAAACGAGTATGAATGCTTATCTTTATTCTTACTAGTCGCACACTAACAATATAAAGAAACCAATTTATACAGCATATGTTTTATACATACTTCTAAAACTGTGAAATGGTTGTCTTCGGCAGCACTAAGGTGTAAGCATCAAATAGTAGCTTTTATTTCAAGTGTTTAGCCTTTCAAAGTTTTCTTGAAACTTCAACTCTTTAGTTTCCTAAAGTTTTCCTTCTTAGGTTTCATTCATCCACAGCAGCCCAAAGGCTTATTAATACTGAACCAGAAACATTATTTTTCTATTCCCATGGGCTGTCTTTTATAGTGGCCAGAATTGGCATTTTATTGTTGGTAGAAGCCGCTTTGGCGTTCCACATATTTGGAAGTATGATGGTCATTAATGACATATGGCCCTTTGGCGATGGCTGAGGTAAGGTAAGGCTCAACCAGTCACTTGTCTCCTAGCTGTTCACATATACTAAGCAGGCTGTGAAGCAATTTACATGATAGCAAAGAGCAATGAGGAAAGGAGAATCTGTCTCCGATCCTGAACTGAGTACAAAGGCATTTTTCCTCCTTCTTGTATCCATCCCACCCCATCCCATGTACATCTGAGTATGGGGTAGCCATAGACCTTGTCTTTATGCTCTCATTCGGGGCATGACATCCTCTTTTTCAAGCTGCCTACAAGTGGTGATAGTTTCCCAGTCTGGTAATTGCTGAGTTTGTACTTTATTAGGCAAGACCAGTTGCCTTCCATGTGTTAAGCCTAACTTGTTTTCATGGTTCCTTTCAAGACAAATTTTTGCTTTAGTACCAAGGGGTATGGGGATGGGGATGTGACCAGAGGAGGCACGTCCAGCTTTAATTTACCGTAAGCTCACGGAAGAGTCATGTGAATTTTTCTTGAGGATGAAGAGCGTTGAAATTGCTTGGGCCGCAGGGTGAAAAGACTTCAGAATATAATGTTCTTAATTGTTTTTAGAAAGGGGAAATTGAACTTCAAAATGTTCAAAAGGAAGCAAGCCTTTTTAAGTGACTCCTAATCACTGGGGTGCTTTAAAAAATAATTTCACTGTAACTTGAATTTTAATTGCCTGCCCCTTCCTCTTATTGTCATGGTACTTTCATCCCCTCTGTTTTCCTGGAACAGAGTGTTGTTACTGCTGTTTGTTTTAAGAAATCCACTGGAATTTGTCCTGCAGTGCAGCAAAATTTCAGGGATGGATATGTTTTAATATTCTGTATTATGAATATTTTTTTATATCTTTGTAATAAAAAAAATGACGTTTTAATGACTGCTCTCCTATAAACCCTGGACTGCTGCATTTCCAACATAAGAAGCTGAGGACAGACAATGCCAGGTGCAGCGAGAACATTGCTGCAGCCCCACAACATACCATTTTTAAACATTATTCAAATTAGTCTCAACACTCATAATTCTGTTGTTTGCTTTATTGCTGTTGTAAAGCAAATGGTTCTTTTATACAAATGTTATCTCCTGGCTATTAATTTAGCAGTTATTTTGGATTATGGCACTCCTGTTAAATTTAGGAATGTAAAACCTCATAAATATTTAAAAGTTTTAGACTGACGTGGGAAGAAATTGGTTTTGACTTGCTTTGTTAATATCCTGTTGTTCAGTTTGTAATAGATTTGGAATATATTGTTATTTCTCCACTGTTTGACAAAGGGAAAAACAATTGTAGTTGAGCAACCACTTCAAGTGTTCTCCCTTGAATTGTAACAGGCTGGTAAAAGTGTTTGTTTCCAGTAAAAAATAGCAAGGAAAATATCTGTTTTCCTGTAAGAGGACAAAAAATGTGAAAATTTTAATCAGAGCCCACTTCAAAGTTAATGAAAATGCAGCAGTAGGTTTGTAAAGATAGTTTTGATAAAACAGTTTCAAGTAGGTCTACTTACAGTCAAATGCTTCTGCTTCAGCATCTTTGTTATTTAAACTTCTCTCTAAGGAACAAACAAGTAAGGTGGACAAATGTGTTTTTTCCCTCAGAGACATTTTATAGAGATTGTATTTACTATGCAACGAGTGTATTCATAGAATAAATATTAGTATGCGTCTTGAGTATCCCCCAAAGCTCTGAAGAATAACTGATGATAAAAAAAGTCACAATTTTTGTAAGACCGCTGAAGGTCTGGACAGCACAGTCTCTGGGCCAGCGTTCCTGTTTCACACCTAACTGTATTTTCTTTCTTCCTTTACCTCAGGAGTAAATACATAGCTTTTCAGCCAGATCTTAAAGGGTGTTAAGGTGTAACTCCTGTTGGGATTGTCTAGAAGTATTTCAAATGTTTCAATAATTATTCAAAAAAAGATGCTGAATTGATTCAACCTGGGTAAGTATGCTAGCAGACTAAGTATGCAGTTTACAGAGCTTACATCTCTGCATGCTCCAGAGGTTCTTCAGCTGTATCCTGGGACGACGCTTGACTTGATGGGTTTCTTGTATTTCCTATGTCAGTTAACCTCACTGGTGTAACGCCATGACTTTTTGTGGTATTGGCGTGCTTTACTGGGTGCTGAACTGAAAAGACTTTTCTTCTAGCTAGCAAGTAAGTTAACACTGCAGTGTTAATACTATTTTATGGCAGGTTTACACCATCTTCTCTTACGTGGTATAGCTAAACCAGCTTAATGTCTGCATAAAGTAATTATCGAAGGTGGTACTTTCCTTTGGCTAGAAAAAGCTTTTTACATGTCAATAACTTGTTGTAGTTAGCACGCAACATTTCAAAACACAAGTTTTCAAAAAGGAAACCATAAGGTGGTTACATAGAAGTTGTAACTGTGAAGGTGAACTTACAGTTGCAGGAAAAAATTGGTATTTTATGCAAGTCAGTAGCTGGATGTGCCACACCAGCTGAGTCCATGCGATTTTAACTAATTCAGCATGGTCCAGCCCATGGCCTGTTGGCTGGATCCAGCCCCTTTGTGAGGTTTCTACCTGACCCATCACCTTCTTACCGCGGGAGACAGGGAACAGATGCTCCCTCAGTATATGCAGCCTTCTCCACCTGCCCTCTCCAGGGCGATGAGTGGCAAGTCCAAAGGGGCATAAGGAAGGGCAAACAAGCCCGTAAGGGTTGTCAGCACAACCCTGTGGACCAGCCACAACACATCTGTGTGCGCAACTGTATGCATTAGCCAGTCCTGCACACTCATTCATATGTTTTTGTGTGCATGAAAAGCTTATTCCTCTCTTACAAACAGAACAAAAGTCTGCTGTTACATGGACAAAGCAAATGTAAGGCTTTTGCTGTTGTTTATTGACTTACTACATAATCAGCATGTTGAAAATAATTTTTATTTTACTTTGAAAAGTACTTCTGCTAGACATTTCTTGTATTACTCTTTTTTTGGTTCTACAAATGTGTAGTAAACAGTGTAAAGCAACGGGCACTTGTATGCTTATGAATGTAAAGACATTTGGATGGAGAAATTCTGCAGAGCAGTATATTTACTTTGCATTTCTGAATGATAGCAATTAAAATTCACAGCTGCTGGCTGTCCAGATGTTTCTTGCATTACAGCATTGTAATTTGCATTGGAATATATTGTGTTACTGCAGTAGCTGTAAAGTGGTCAGCTCTCACAGTCTAAATGCTGTATATGGGCTCCAGTTGGGATGGTGAGCGTATTTCCTGCCCCTATTAGGTTCTTCTCCTTCCCGCTGTTTCCTCTTTCTGTTAGCTTTGACATGTTTGTATTTCTCAGATGAAGGCTTTTATTGCTGGGCATTCAAATCAAGCAGGGGATGTATTGACAGGTCAGAACTGATGTACGGATGGTTTCTCGTAAGAGTGACACGGAAAAAAAGACCCAAGTTTTGAATCAGAAGTTTCTCTTTCCCTTTGGCATTTTCAGGCAGCAAACATCCCTCTGGTGTCAGAGCTTGGCATTGATGATATCCATTTTGATGACTTCTCGCTTGATGTGGATGCCATGATTACTGCAGCCCTGCGGATGTTCATGGAACTTGGAATGGTTCAGAAATTTAAAATTGACTATGAGGTAACCATCTGCGCTGCAGAGATATCTGCTGCTTTTGTCTTGGCACTGCTCTGTCCATTTGTACACTTTTAGTAGCCCTGATACAATTTGTACTTTTCATTTCAGACGCTGTGTAGGTGGCTTTTGACAGTTAGGAAGAATTATCGAATGGTTTTGTATCACAACTGGAGGCATGCTTTCAATGTCTGCCAGCTAATGTTTGCCATGTTAACTGTAAGTATTCAGCTACAGACACAATCCCGTAAGAGCTTTTATTGCCACATTGCCTTACCTGTCTAAACATTTTCTAACATTTGATTTCTTTTGTAGTTATGATGATACTCATTCATTTCCAAAAGAAATGCACACAGAATTAGGTTATTCGACTTAAGGCGGCACATATTTGGCAAAACCTTATAGTGTTTTAGTGAGAGTGATATCACAGGCACATTAAAGTGACTGAAAACAGATGGCAGTCTTGGAGTGAGCTTGTTGTTATAGATCTTGATCTTACAAAAATGTTTTTCTTTTGGAACTCTGATTTGACATTTATTTCAGACACTTAAATTGGGAGGTACAAAACCACAGGAGATTAGAATCCCAGAAGAAGTGTTTATTACGTTGCTATTTATTATCTTCTTATCCAGCTTCATCTAAATAGTTGCAGAAGGTATTGCCTTAAAACATTTTAAGATTATCTTCCAACATAGTGATCTAAGTGAATCTTGTGTCTCCATTGGACGCTGTAACAATTCTGGGTTTTATTAACATGTATCTCCATCAGTACCTGTAACTCCTCTCAGCATACAAGTAAATTCTGTTGAAAGTACCACTGCTCTTACTCGCGCTCTCTCCCTACCCCACAGCAACCTCACTGCATGAAATAATCCATGTTTGGCTAGTTAGTTCTTGTAAATGTATCAATAAAAAGCTTCGTCATCCTGGATGTTTAATATGGCAAAAGAGAAGCAACGTGTCTGTGTGCAAACGACACTTTCCACTATACTTTACATTTTAGGTTTGCCTTATCTCCAGATAAAGATAAGAATTCAAGTTTTTCCATTTTTTCTTCATGTTCAGTTTTAATGGCCAGAGTCATCTATTGTGAACTTTAAAGTGGTCATATTAATAGCATTTGTGCAAGTATTTATTTATCTGGGCTATCATGTGCTCGTTCCCTAATTTTTAATCACTGAGCGTTTATGTTCTCCTTGTTGGCCGGTCTCTGTGGCATGGTTAGCGTCTGGACCCTGTCCATAGAGGTGGAGACTCCACAGCCTGTGCCATGCGCAGCACAGGTCAGCGCCGTGTTAACATGGACTTGAGACAGTCCGTGGCCTGTTACCTGCTCACAGGGCACAGCTGTCTTGTGCGTGGGTTCCCAGTTGGCCTACTTCATTTGGCATTGTTTCTGTGGCACAACTGTGTCTGTCGGACAAGAAAAAACAGAGTATGACCCTAGCAGGTAGATGTTGGTATAGTGCTAGGTCCATCCCAGCTACACGGGTTTGTTTCTGTAAGCATTTACGGAGGCGTAGCAAAGTTGTACCGTATGCCGTGAGACAAAGGAAATGGAGACGTTCAACAAGAGAGAAAGGTCACCTCTTCTGGGCGTGAGGCTGTTCAGCTGAGCAGAATTAACGTTGATTCAGCAGGCACTTTCTGATGATCTCTAATGAAATCTCATGGTAATGTGTGGGCATCAGTCATTTTTAAGGTTTTATAAACTCGACATGCTTTTTTTTTAAGTTATAGAAAAATGAAAAGCTTTTTACTCTGAGGAGTAAGGGCAAAGTCAGGCAGTGCCGTTCAGCTGGGAATTACATTAATTTCTGCCAAATGCTGCCAGGGGGTGAGGAGCCCTCAAACCTCACCCGTGAGGACCTCTAGGTGGAGCTCCGAGGCCAGGTTTTCGGCAGGCTCTTTCTGTGGGAGACGCTCTCTCCCACCAAGCATCTCCATCTCAGCTAGCAGTGACTACATTGGCAGCCAGCAGGGAGAAAGCACATCCCTGCTGCTTCAACAGCCACCAGCAAGCCTGTGAGGCTTCAGCCATAAACTGCTTTGACTGTGGCTCTCAAAGCATAATTTCAGGATCCTTTTAGTAGTCAGCACGGGGATGCAACTGTCTGTGGGAGGTGACCCGGGATTTTCAAGCCAAGCTCATTTCATTGCCCACACTCCTGGTAATAAACCGAACGAGCAATTCCACGGGCAGGGCTGGATGCGTGTGCCCATGGCGTTGGACTCACCACACATCCCACCCTGCTTCGCTGTGGCTCTGGCCAAGAACGGAGTAAGTTCAGGTGTATGATCCACTTGGGCTGCTCTCCCTTCCAGAGCTAGGAAGACTGATCTTGTGAAAAAAGACACAAAAGAGAGAGCCAAGAAACTAGTAATAGCACAAGGCTTGCTCTTACTGCATTTGTCTTGGGGGAACCATCCAAGTTAGTATGTGCCTTGTCTTTCCACCTGCAAAGAGGGGAAAATTCTTTGACTATCAGAGAGGGGCTCTGATGGTTAAGAAGGCACTGCTTTGTGCAGTTGTTGCACCCTATTCCTGATTTCTCCATGACAGTCAGCAATATTGACTGCACCGCAAATATAAATCAATAGTTCTATTTTAGGGCGTTTTCAGGTAGGACTTACCATAGCATAGTAATGTCTAACCTGGAATGCGGTAGCCTCTAATGGCCCGACCGTGCGCCTGCTGAATGCAGAAGGAAAATTCAGCTGGGTTGAACAAGCTGAACAACAGAAATCCAACAAAGCTTAAACCAGTTGTTTCACTCCTGGGTCAGCCTTCTGCATATCTAAGGTATGTTCCTGCATATCTGAGTATATATTTTCTCTCTCTGGTTAGACACTGAACAATTATAAACCCAGTCCTGCGAGCCCTACTTCTGTATTTCAGACTCGCCCAAATATTCTGAAGGCAAGCACTGAAGCAAGACTGCTCCTACGAGTTAAGGACGTCATGTGAGAGTAAACCACAGGATCAAGCCCAGGCTTCATTATCAATGCCTTTGCCTAACACAGTTCACATTAATACTTATTTCAAAAAGTAAAAATGAACAAGTAAGCAATACAAAATTAAAATCCTATCTGGTGTGCTAATAACAAAACATATAAATGTGGGGCAAGGTATAATGAATGCAATTCATTTCCTCACATGTAAGAATGACCTCCATAACTCACTGGAGACGCTGCCACTCATGAGTTATGGGTCATTCCTTTTCTGGTGAAAATAAATTTTACTGCACCGTTGTCTATAGCCATGTATTTTTTTCTCTCTGTGTAAATTCAAAAAATGGGGAAATGTAATTCTCTATTTTCTTGCATTATGTTCAAAGCAGATATTCCCTTACTGTAACATTGTTTTAAATCAAATGTTTTTTGTTAAGTGAAATATGCTATATTTCTCTCATATATTCAATGACAAGACTTTTAATTAAATAAAATGTTGCATTTATTTTTGAGATATTGCTACTGTTAGTAAATTCCTAAATAGGCTTTCCTGCATTTGCAATAGAGGTTGAATCCCTGAGTTTAATCAAAGCGTGTGTTATGCTAAAGGATATTTATTACAGCATCAATTTTATATTATAAAACTTCTATTTTAAGTTGCTTTAACTGAGCCATGAACGTTTTCTCTAGATTGAAACTTGATACACAGCATGTTGTCAGTTACAAACCTATTTTTTAACCCCTTTTTTAAAAATAGACCTTGATTATTATTTGTTATATAGGAGCAATGTTTAAAAAATAAAAATAGAAAACACTCTTTTTTAGAGAATTTCAAAAAAGCAATGCCACTAGAAATCAGGATAATCTCTTTCATAATATTCAAATTACCCTGTACACCAGTGGATTCTACATGAAAGGAATCTTTTTTCCTCATATTTGATCATCTTTTCTGATATGTAAACTTTGAGCACAATTATAAAGCTTTTGTAGCAAGTCCTGCACTTCCTCAGTTCCCACTGAAATGCATTCCTGAGCACCTGCGGGAGCTTGCCTCCCTCTACTGCCTAAATATTAACTGCGGCCACGTTTCAGACTATGAAAACAGAGGCTATTTGGATTTGACTGTGCATTTAGTAGAATTTGTGGTCTTCAGGGTGAATAGCAGAGTTTTCACATGGTATTGCAGCAATTGACTGGCATTTCTGAGTGGGCTGTAAGTTCCTACTAGGTAAGGACATGAAGTCCCACTGGTATTCACTGTCTTTGTATCACTTAACCCTCTTCTTGCCAGTGGGTAAAATTATGCCCCATTGAAAATCAATGGAATTCAGGATTTCTTACACACTGTTAGTGTTCAGCCTTGGTTTGGTCTTACAATATAAATGTATTTTATATTCCTTTTATATAATTTCCTTTCATACTGACTAGATTGTGTGGCTAATTGAGGAGTGTCATTGGAGACTGGCACTGTGGAAAGACAAGTGTTATGATTGTCCAGCTCAGCCAGTCATTTTTGCAGGCAATATGCCCTTATGCTTCTGAAGTGTTGAAGAACCAGGTTGTTTCTGCCATGGGTAAGATGCACGGCACCAGAGAGGTGTTGTCCCACTCAGGCTCCAGCACCTTCTCCAGACAGGATCTGTTCAGGATGCTTGAGGTTAGCAGTAACAGTAGTATTTCTTCTCTGACATGAGGCAGTTCAGGCAGGAAAAGTGCTATGGCAGGTATCCACGAGGAGAAGTATAGTGGCAAAAAAATGTTTCTAGGATCCGTTCCCCCATTCGCACGGGTGTATCTTGTCTGAGCTGCTCCTGGGGAATTTCAATATATCAGTTTTCAAAATTCTCTCCCAAATTCAAGTGGGTATCTGCAGCAGAAATATGCCATTTGAGACATTTCCTCTTTAAATCATGCTTTTCATGTCATGTGTCCCAGAAAACAAATCTCTTAATAGTTCGTAACAGTTCCATAGAGTATATTTTAGCTGGCTGCTTTTATAGGTCTTTTGATTTAATACTTCAGCTATCTCTGACAGTAGGGATTGACTAAGATGGTCGCCTCAGGATTGAAAAAATCTGTCTAAGTACTTCTCTGAACAATAATTTCAAAATGGAATCAATATTGTTTTGTATTTCTCTAATTCGAAATTCCAGTTCCCATCTTAGTGTGTAGTTATTGGTGTTTGTTTTCAGCGCTTTTTGCCTTTAGTGCCTTCCGGGTAGGGGAGAAATGGCATGCTGGAAATGCAACAGAGAGATAATAACAGATCACTCCGAGGACGTTATCTATTCTGCTAACCATCTAACATACAGCAGGGAATATAATATGACAATAAAGCATTTATCTTCTCCTTGCTGAAACGTTCATGGTATCAAAACAAAGTTGACTGTTGCTCGATGTACTAACATTACTTATCCCTTCTGCTACTGATAGTTACAGCTGCTGGGTTTTTTTTTTCTGCTCTCAGACTGCAGGATTTCAGGACATTCTGACTGAAATTGAAATTTTAGCTTTGATTGTGGGATGCTTATGTCACGACCTTGACCACAGGGGAACCAACAATGCCTTCCAAGCCAAGTAAGTTTTCTCATTCTTATTACTTTAATTTGGTTTTCTTCCACAGAAGAGCAAAAGGTGACCAGGATAAAGAATGAAGCATTAATTTCAGGCCTCCTAGGCTAAGGCCAAGTAGTCTTATTCTTGTATGTAGTGAGGGACTATCCATCTTTATCATTCTCTGTTCTTTTGGGTAATTGCTGGCTTGTCCTTTGTATCAGGCTCTTGATTGGGTTACCCCTTGTGAACTGACACTGCATATTGAAATGTGGTGCCAAAACTTGCTGTTCTTCTCAGGCTGAGGTTTTATTGATTCTGGTATTCAACCTGGGAAACACTGAAACTGTCTATCTGGGTTGTTCTTGCTAGCTGGAATGCATGATGTTAAGCAAAATCTTGTTCAACTATTAAGAAGAAAAGAAAATAGGTCAAACTGAAATCATGCTTTCACAAAAACTTTCGCAAACATATAGGCAAGCATACATAAAGTAATTTCTAGCTTATGGAGTATGAAACTGTTGCCATCGTGCTGGAGCTCAGATGCATCTCGTCCGCAGTGGGTGGTTGGAGTAGTTGCCTCACCACATACCCGTCAGTTGTGGAGCACGCAGGGTCCCTGGTCTATAGAAATGCCTCCTCCCTGGCCTGCCCCACATGCCAGAGCACATAGAGCCTGTTCGGAGATACGCTGCAGTGGGCAGGGGTGGGCTGGCCACCCCCTGAAATGGTCAGTACCCACCAGAACATGAAGCTGGATCTCAAAGGCAGATTCGTACATCACCTATGTGAAATCTTGCTCTCCAGACCATTTTCAATTCTAAAAATGAATTTTATTCTATTCCAAGTGCTTAGGACCTGATTCAGCAGCCCTGACTTGCATATATTTTTACTGTCCAGGCTGCTGCCCTCAGACACATTAATGAGGTAGAAGCAGGTTTGTGGAAGGTCTGACGGTGGTACTTCTTATTGTGGTGGTAAGGGAACTCCCTTGACCAAGGTCAAATTGTTTCCAAAATCTGTGTTCCGTGACAACAGGGGGGACAACAGGAAATGTCCCCTGACAACATCCTGGCCAAGCTGTGAAATAAAGCTGTCAGATACAGAGACTCCTCCAAATCCTATGCTGTTTTCTCAACTCCCCAGGTCCTCTACAGTCAGAATATGAGATCTTGAGGCTCTCTTGTCCTGCAGATCTCAGCATGCATTTGCAACTTTGTCCGTTCTGCATTACTGCTAATCCTCCAGTGTGACAGGGAAGTGGTCAGATGGTTGTCCAAAGATATTTGAAAGACAGGGTGATGTTGTATTAGCCTATTTTGTCCTACCTTTTGCAAAAATACTCTGCTGCAATCTGTGTATGCACGGGCTGCTGCATTTCTGGGGGTGAGTTGCCTCAGTGAACATCACTCAAACTGATGTTTCTGATATTCGCTAAGCTGCCATTTCCTGAGCTATTGGTGGTGTTGTACAGTCTCAATGAAACAACGACGCTGTCTGGATCTTCAATCACCATAGCAAGGAAAATCAATTGCAGTGCTCAAAAGACAGAGCTCGTGGTGCAAAGGTTACCAAGCACTGCTAGATGCCTTTTTGCAGCTGAATCTTGAAGAGAATCAAAAAAGACGAGACAAATGGGAAGGAATCTCAGCTGATTGATGTTTATGTTCCTAATTTACAAAAACGAGACCTAAGATTTACATCCTGACCATTTGAGGCTCTGATTAAGTTAACCACTTCTCCACCGTAACATTACACAACAATATCTCTTGTGCAGAGGGATGGCTGAGTTAAAGGTAGAGGTTTCAGCATTAGACTGCCATCACTTATACTTGTTTGACAACAGAGTACAAAGAGGAGGCGGCTACCATTTTACGACTCCATATAGAAATTGCTGAAGACATTCAACAAAAGACAAACATTACCACACATGTATAAAACATCCCTGAAAACAGAAGCTGTAGTTTTCATAATAGCAGCTATGATTTATTCCTCTAACCTGACTTATAAATTTAAGCATCCCATTTTCCTATTTTATCTTCAGTGTTCAATACTGCTGTTCTGTGTGATGAAATTTCAAGAGGTATATGATGGAGGCAATATCACAGTTGTCTGAAATGGCTCTGTTATATATCTCAACACCATGTTCTCTAGGGATGATGTTTCCTGGACATCCTTCTCTCTAATATAGCTGCTTCTGATAATTAAATACCAGTATGGTGCAGTTTTATTGTATACGCTCCTAGGAGACTCTTTCTGTTTGTCTCTAGCATAATCTCTTACTCTCATTTCTTTGGAAAGAAAACCCATCTTGTCGCTTTAGGGTGGGTCCCAGAAGTGAAGTAATGGTGAACAGTAACTATTCTGACAATCCAGTCCCGTTCTCTGCACCTCCCAACGATTCGCAATTTTATAATTGTATTCTGTAGATTTTTGTTCTTTAAACTTAGAAACCCCACCTGCTCTGTGCATTTTGAAGTTAGTTTTGTTTTAGACAATAAACATGATGAGAAAATACATTTGAAAGAGATGCTAAACTTCACTTTTATATTCACTGCTCTCACTTGTGGTTTTTTGTTTACCTTGGTATTTTTTTAAGTGTATGGTTTTATATACAGACAGAACCTCACTGCATTTGCAGTTGGTTTTTTGTTGTTGTGTTTTGGGGGTTTTTTTACAGAGTTTGTAATCACCCATTGTAAGTCATTGTGGCTATATCTATTAAGAATTAAAAATAAAAAGTAGTAGCTGAACAGTCGGTCCTAGCTCAAGTACGTTACTGTTTGTCTTTACTGCACAGTGGTGCACCCATGCTGTTGCATCGCTGAGGCACTTGGAAAGTTGCATTACAAAATTTCATGTAGTTCCAGGAAAATCTTTAGTCAGCTGATGATATTTAGCAAGGTCTGGAACATAAATGCCTTGTATCTGGCTTTAAATGAGTATTTTGATCTTGTCAACTGTCTCAAGTGTGGTTGCTGAAATGAAGAGGGAGAGCGTGGTTACATGCTTTCGTTACTAAATTGTCTCTGAAACCTGCTTCGTAAGCAGACGAGCAGTATTGACTCCCCGTGTTCTGTTTCAGGAGCGGATCAGCCTTAGCTCAGCTCTACGGCACCTCTGCTACCTTGGAGCACCACCATTTCAATCATGCTGTCATGATTCTCCAAAGTGAGGTACAAAAGCATTACTATTAATCTCTCTGTAAGCTGTTGGGCAGTTTCAGCCAGAGAAAGGAAATACCACACACAGTACCTTCTTAATGCCCTCTCCTTCAGGAATTATTTATTGGTTACCACAAAGGTCACAACTAGCACAAAATTAAACAACTACAAATGCTGATCATAGAGCCCAGAGATTATATTTGTCTCAATCAGCTAGGGGCAAGGAGAACATATCCTAATCATATTGTCAGCTTTTCTCAGTCGTCTTACATATATCCTGCTCAGTGGTTTATAGGTAGGCGAAACAAGCTCTTACCTTTCCCCACAGGTGTTTTTCAGAGTGTCACAGTCATCCTTTACTGGACCAATTTAATTTCTTTGACAGTCTTTCTGTAATCAGTATTTTTATGATGGTTTTGCATAATTTTACTAAATGATTTTTTAAAAAAATTAGTATCAGTAATATCATGTTGTCCAAAGTACACTAGCTGCTTTGCAGATATATATAAAGACATAGTTCTTGCCTAGAATATCTTATGTGCAACAGTATGCAGCATGCACTACCCCAGAGATGTAGTAAGTGAGAAAAGTAGAAGGATGGACACACAATCCTTACAAAACAATGGATGTATTTGCTTAATTTACACAGGTAGATTATTACAAAATGCATTCAGTATACATAAAACAAAACTGTTTTTCATGCAGCACAATTGGAGACCATAGGCTGATCTGCAATAACTTTTGAAGAGCATCTGGGAGTGTCCCGTGATCGCAGACAAATGGAAACAGGGTGACGGCTTTGCCTCTGTGTACAGTGCCACAGAGATTAGTCATGGGACTCTGGCTTTAGTGTTCAGTTTCTTGACATTATATTTAAAAAGTAGACATAAGAAAGGAGAGCACCAGCATGAGATTTAAACAGCTCAATCTGCTTAGCCTAGCCTAGCTTATCTAAAAGGTGATACTAGGAATTAAATGGCTCCTTATACTACCAGGGAAAGGCATAAGAAAAAGCAGCATTTGAAAGTTAAACAGACTGGTTCAGAATAGGAAAAAAGGAAGAAGTTTTTGGTTCGGGGGGTTTTTTCTAAACCAATGAGACTGTTCACCCCTGGAACAAGCTTTCCTGGGAAACAGTGATTTCTCTAGTTCCTGAAATCTTCATCATGACTGAATGTCTTTCTGAAGACAGGCTCAAGACATGGACAACTCTCTGAAAGTTTATAGCTCATGTCAGTCTAGATGCTTTTCTTTATCTTTTCCGGTTTAAAAATCAAGAAATTTATGAAAAAAATACTTTTTTCCTTGGAATCTACTCCAGCTTCTTTCAGAGATATAAAATATTACTTGAAATGCAAGTCCTCCCCTTTGCTCACTCAGGCAGCTTCTTCTCCAGGTCCTCATTTCTAGACCAGAAAATTAATCCTACAGGATTTTTATTCAATAGATACTATTTGCTAATGGAACACAACACCCCTTAGTTTGGAATAAATGCAGATTTGGATCCTCCAATCTACGTAAAGATACACCAACTTTCACCAGCTAAGCAGTTGGTCTCCTCTCTCAAATAAGCTGAAATTAGATTGTATCCTATCCACTAATGTTGATACTCTAGTCTGTCTTTGCTATCTAGAAGGAAACATAGGATATTGTATTATTTCTTTTGATTTTTATCATGTTGGGCAAAGGAGCTATTTATCCTTTACTCTTGAGATGCTAACCTCAGTATAAGTGATCTTGAGCTTTGTAGTGACATGGTTTTATACACCACAAAACAGGTCAGAAAGGCAACAGATATTATAGAATAACAGACAACTTGGTAAATTACCCCTGTTGTAAGAGCTGCTATTTTCCTGATACATTTTGCTTTATTTTCTTCTGAGTACTTTGGTTTTAAAATTGTTTTTCGTAAATAAGCTTTAGATTCTCAAATCCTTCTCAATATTTAGCTGAAAAGAAATAATCATTTCATTGTCACAGAGAAGACCATCTTTTATGCATGGCAAATTATTTTTTTAGTCCAGTAATTAGCTAATCTATTAAAAAATACCATCTCTACCTCCAGACCCTATCTCGTCTATGTCCTCAGACCATCAAGGTTGTAGCAATCCTGTTGCTGGAAAATTCTTGGTTTTAAGGGCATTTTAATCTTCCTAAGCAGTAGATGGCAGTGCATAGTGAATGTGTGCGTTACAGTGCTAAATACCACCAAAATAAGACTCTGTTTAGCAAGAACCTCATTATTTCTTTAGGTGATCAGAAAAAACCCAAGTGTAGTGCTTTTATTTATGTTAATTGTTATATGTGACTAATGTCACAAAGACCGCTTCTTAAGCTTAGATTTAGAATTTTCTATTAATTTTGTTTCTTTCAGCTTATTTTCTCTAGGATTTCATAGAGAAATTATAGGATCTCTGTCCCTCTTAGTTTTCAGAAATTCAGTTACAAAAGGACCTTCCTGCTCGCAAATAGCAATATTAAATAATTTGTTTCCTTTCATTCTGGCCACGGAGCACCTTTCAAATTCTTAATCCATGATCGCTTAAAAAGTAGCCTATTGGGCCTACAAAGGGCGTTTAAACTGCATAAAGTTGCGGTTCTTTAGCCTGCATAGGCAATGCTTGTATACACTGTAAGGCAACGCAGCAATGGGCAGAGAGAGCAAATGGGCTGTTTTGAATGAAAAACTGATTTAGTGTCTTTGACTGCTCTAACAGCAGTTTGTGTACCTGCAAGCACAACAGCACAGATAAATCTATTACAAGCACAACTCAAAAGCCGCAATGCACAGCTCCCCAAAACATTTAATAAGAGGGAAGATTGAGATGTATCTATAGTTTTCCCCATAAACTGAGTCTGTGCAGGGTCAGAGCAAAGAGTAAATCTTTTCTGAAGACACTATAATTTCAGCAGAGTTTAGAAAAACATCCCAGGTGCTTGATTACAATCGTCAACTCTTCCACCCCAATGTAATCTCAGCAGTATCAACATTATTATTTTGTCGTAGTTTTGCCATGAATCAGAAAAGGCCTCTGTTGCAGGGAAACAGTAGACTAAAGAGTTAGAAAACCTTTTAAAAACCTATATTGATTGCTAGCCCTTTACCTCTTTTATCTCTTTCATTACAGGGTCACAACATCTTTGCTAACTTGTCCTCTAAGGACTACAGTGACCTTATGCAGCTTCTAAAGCAATCGATATTGGCAACAGACCTCACTTTGTATTTTGAGTAAGTATTGGCATTTCTTGTATTTGACAAATGAAAATTTGAAGAACTTACTCTAATGAGCTATTAAATACCAATAAGGATATATAATATGAGAAATTAGTGTTTAGCTGTGGTTGAAGAGATTTAGTCTAATGCTTAGTATATCTTAGGCTAATAGAAATATCTCAAGTGTCCAAGTAAGTTTTGCTTTAATGTGTAACATGTCTGTATCAACAAAAATCAAGTGAAATCCTAGGCTTATACGTCAAAGCAATCCCAGGAATCGGTTACAGCTCAGTCCTGTAATTCTTCTGTCCCTTCTGTGATCATTTCTTCAGGCATGTAGAAAATCAACGACATTTTAGCATTCTTTTCCACCATTTCAGAGTTTCTAAACATGTATGCTAAGAAATATTATATTTAGTTACAGACCCAGTTGCAGAGGTAATGAAAGCATACACGTTGCTTCTCTGAAGACAATTTGTGCCAATTTGCATCACATGAGAATAGGTCTTAAAAAGCTTAACTGGAGAGAAGTATAATAGGATCTCTCTCATCCGGTTTTCTTCCTTTTCCTTGTTTGCAAATCAAATCTCTAAGTAGACTTCACGTTGGTGCTATTTTGTGTTTTTCAAATGCTGTTAATTATTATCAAGCTCTTCCCAGTGTGAATGTGTGGGAGCATGCGTGTAGTCAGAGGAGTCGTCGTGTCACCGTCACATTGCACTTTTGACATCCCCCTCTCTGACATATGCCTGTGGCTGACTTACAGGGAGAAGTGCTGTCAGATGTGCAGTTTCAGCATACTACCTTCCCAGTCTTGACAATAATTCATCCTTAGGAATTTTTGTTTGATGTCCATTAGCATCCTATCCCAAACAGTGCTGGGTAGCATTTAATAATGTTTTTCTCAACTTTTAGGGGGTTATACCTGGATTCCCCCGCTGCTTTGTGCTGACGGTTGATACCAAACCAAGTTTCCAGAAAACGTCAGGCAAAGTCTTTACCCTGAAATTGTTCAACTATCTATATCAACATTGTATCTTTAACTGTTAGTTGTAAAAATACTAACTGGGATGCTGCAATGTTTGCTTTGTCTTTTTTGCTCAGTGTTTGGTTACTGTGCCAAGGGCTGTTTCTAAACACACTGATATTCTTTGTTTCCTGCAAGGCTATTCTCAGAGAAGTTGTATTAAGAAAGGGTTTTAATGAATAGTTTTATTGTAAATAACTTCTAAACATTAGTCCATGAAGAAATTTCTGCTTGCTGACATGAAAATCCTGAGTAGGACAAATAACCCCTGTTAAGCATACTCTTTCTGAAGCTGTCTGTTAGGATCGCTTGGTATCTGGGGGGCTGCTGTGACAGGGGAATTTGCTGACAGCTTTAAGTGAGATACAAGGACCACAGGGATGTGTCAGTACGGGTTCTCCTGCCTCACCACAAATAACAAGGGCTGCAGAAATGTTTTGTGTTGTCAAGGAAGAGATGAGTGGCAGGGGCTGAGAGGGCAGCTGCCCTGGCACAGCCCCATGTGCTCCCCCTGGCCGGGATCCTGCAGCCCCTGGAAGAGCCAGAGGCTCTGCCCTGGAGAGGGCCCGCGGCAGTGCCTTGGGAGGGAACCCAGTCCCGACCCAGACATGATGGAGCTCTCTTCCCTGCCTGCCTTAGGTTGAAAAACTACGTGGTCAAGTTGTCTTCCTAGTTTTAATACAGAGAAATAATGTCCAAAAAGGGACGTCAGCTGAATTTCAAGATTATTCTTCCTTGCTTGCCTAATTGATTTTTATGTGCTACATGAATCAGACAACTTTTAGCAAATGACGCCTCTTTACTCAGAATTCTGAAAATATGTTATCTTTTCGTCTTCTGTTTTGATGATTCATTAATCAGGTAGTTGTTATGCTTCTTTACTTCCAAAAGTGCCTGAAAATCACTCCCTGGAAACATTGATGGTTTACACTTCTTAAAGCCACCCTATGTGAACAGATGTTTCCTCACAAGTACTGAACTTGTTTTTTCAGTTTGCTACGTCTTTAATATTTTTGTAGAGAAGGAAATTCTCATATCGGTATTCTTAGAATGCCTAAACCTAATGATCACAAAGTCCAGCTAGCAAAACAGCAACAAAACTCCAGGCAGAGCAAGACTTTATGACCTTCTCAAGGCAATGCTTTTCTACAAACAAACAAAAAAATGACTTTCAGTGAAAGATCAGATGGAAAATATACTTGATTTTAGTAGATAATTCTAGATAATGATGCTTGTAGATAATGCAACAAGCAAAAGCATGGAACCAAAATGAAGTTTATGGGAAATCACTCAAATGATGTCTTGAGCCGCTGGGCTGTACAGCAACTGGATTTGCTATATAGAGCAAGACAACTTTCCCTTCCAGGCAAAATACAACCAGAGTCAATGTTACTCAAAGACATTGCAAAATTGTTATGATTCTGTTTATTTCTGAAATCCTGGCATACTATGTTTGCTTAATATGAGCAAACCTCTTCGTTTTGGATACCATGCATAAGCAACCAGTAGGAAACATTAAATTGTTTCTTTATACATGGCTGCTTTCCTTAGGTTGACTCCTTCCTACACTAGAAATTCTCTGTGGAGTTGGACTACTACTTCTGCATCCATTTAAATGGATTTCAAAGAAAATTCTTATTTTAAAGTTTTCAGCTTAACATAAGGCCTTGAGACTCACATTTTCAGTTACTGTTTATGGATCTCTATATTTTAAATTTGAATGTTTGAGGTTTCTGGGATGTCATCTTCCTGAGCTTTCAACTTTAAACATTCTTGCCTGTTTTTTGTCCAGTAACATATGAATTGCCCAGAATATCCGATACTTCAAAATGAAATAATTACCAAATTTTACATTGTTAGACTGGGCACTGAAATACAGGATGCAAAAATCCACTGCTCAGTCTCTTCATAGAGTGTGTTGTTGTTGATGATCTGCTCAGGATTAGGCTGGTTTAAGGTTTATGTGCCAACTACTCTTGGCCATTAAAATTTTCATTGTTGCAATATTTATTTCCACTGAGGCCATGATGCTATGACTTTGTGTGAGAGAACTGAATTTTGTTTTCTGCATGTATGACTTTGCATTGTCCCAGCAAATTTTGTAACATGAGACTCTTATGTCTTATTTTGGGAAACATAAGGAATTAGATATCATCACGTAGTCCTCATATCTCCCTGTTCTAGTTGCTGTCATGAAATCCATTATAGAAGGGCCCTATAGCAGGAGTGACTGATCATATAACACATGATAGTCAGGGACCAGAATAATGCAACATGCCCCATGTAAAATTCTGTCCATTGATCAAGGGCAATGTTCCTGGAAGTGTGCATCTCCTCATGTGTAAAACCTGTACTGGCTGCTGTCAGACTGTGCTTTCAATAATCACTGTTCAAAATTTCAGTCTAGCTGAAGTAAATGTAGAAAATACAGGACTTTGCAAACTCTCTCCTGTTGGGGAATCTTAACTACATTTCCACTCGACAAAGAGATAGCAGTCTCCTATGAGATGGGGCACTGGACTGTCACTCAGAGCATAGGTATTTGCTTTCCAGCTTTGATGCTAATATGTTGTGTCACTTTGGGCAAGTTGCTCCATATTTTTGTACCTCAACTTCCGCTATATCTGGGGCAGGATCTGTTTCATATTGTAATCACACTGCGTGCAATAAGAGCCGCTTGGAGTCTCAGTGCCATAAAAAATTACAGACTATGATGAGTCAGAATTTTGGTACTTAGAGGCACCAAACAAGCATTAACATGTTCTGGCTCATGTTTTGTCTATCTTTGAGGACATAGGCAAGATATTCCAGAAGACAAAGCATGGGACCAAGCAGGGAGACCTAGTTTCTAGTCAATAAGAACTACTAACTCAAGACATCTGCAGCTCCTGTGTCTCACTGTTCTGTTCTGTGTGCTGGAAATAACAGGAATTGCACGTCTCTGAGAAACCTTCAGGATCCAGAAGTAAAAATCATTTTGCAAGGACAAGTAAAGAGAAGTGTGTATATATTTCAGGGGTGTTTCTATTGTCTGTCTGTCCGCTGCTGTAGTTGAACATTTCATGCTTCCATGGAAGACTGAACATTTTGGTACCATTTATTTCCTTATCTGCAGAGACCATAAATACAATATTGCTTTTACTAGGCAACTCTGACATTGATAACGGACATTTATAGAACATGTTCGGAAATTAGTATGTTTCACTTAAATGGACTGTCAGTGTAACAACTTTAACAATAATACATGAGGTGCGATGATTTCATATCATCCAGAGAACTGTGTTTCTATGGCAGTGCTGCCCTGGAAGTGTCTTGTTTCCTTCTCTGATAATCTGTTTTGTTGCAGGAGAAGGACTGAGTTTTTTGAACTTGTCAGTAAAGGTGGTTATGATTGGAACATAAAAAACCACCGCGAAATATTTCGGTGAGCACTCCTATTTCTTGCTTTCTGGTTATTTCAAAGTGTAGCCCTATTTGTTTAAGGAATTTCATATATCATGGAGTAAAGACTTAGAGTAACAAGAGAAGGTAGCTTGTTTTAAAAATATGATCCATGATATGAAACGTACGGTATGATTTCTAAACATTACGAAACAGCAGGGATGTAATCAGTGTGACCTCACCTTCTCCATTCCTATTTCTGCCTTCACACCCTGTCACGTTTTCTTCCCTTTCTCCCAGCCCCACCAGTTACCGCTCAGCCCTTCCGCTCTTTCTCCAGAAAGCATCAATATTCTGCCTCAGGACACAAAGATCTTGTGCGTTTCCCCGTTCCCTCCTCCTCCCAGCTGTTTTCTTTCACCAGCCATGCTTCTCTCTGTTCTTCTAGTCTGTACCTGGGAATTTGCAGATACACGGTACTCTTCTAGCCCTCACGAATGATCTGAGCTTGCATCCTACTGAAAACCTCAGACATTGTGGGTGGTTTGAGTACACCGTGCTTTTGAGGCAATAAAATGTGTGCATTTGCATATGCATGTCTGATTATGTCTCGTTTTATCTGAAATTTCATTAAATTTCGGTTTCCTTTTGGTCTTTTGACCAAAATGTTGGCCATTTTCTATTTTCCATATCATTTCACCCATTCCTAGTTTTAGATTCAGGCAATATATTTGATGCTTCATTTTCAGTGCCCTTGTTCTTCATTTAAACTTTCTCAGACTTTTATCTGCATCATGTACTGTACATAAACGCATTCTACAGCTGAATGGTTTCTTTCTCCTAATGCATATAAAACATGGTTGTAGCTAGGTATTAAACTACAGTGGAACAGTATAGCTCATAGTAAATCTTAAATTTTTATTGTAGATGAGCAGTAGAAACTGCTTAAACAGTGTCTGGGATGCCTCCTGTGATTATAGGTTCTCTTGCTATAGCAGTCACTTACAAATAGGCATATAAATTAATCCAGTTTGCATATGTTATTATGTAATAGTACCCTTACTTAGATCATGTGAAGCACATGCTTTCTAGTATATTATAGGTATTAATGTAAGTAGTGTTAGAAGTATTGCAAAATTAGCAGTTACTCCCTTGCAATATCATTTCCTTTTTAGTGTGCAATGCACAATACCAAAATTAATCGTTTGATGACCTGCAACACATTAGGCACAATTGTGATGTAAAAGCCATGCTGATGGCTAAGATTTCAAACATGTCATTCTTTTCTGGAGGAAAAGAAGGTAGCAGGGCTGACATTTTATATATGTATTATTTATTTATGCATCCAGAGCAGAGTTGTTTAGAAATCCAACAAAGGTTGATTCAGCTTGTATTGTTCATTTCTGTTTTTCAGATCAATGCTAATGACAGCCTGTGACCTTGGAGCTGTGACCAAACCGTGGGAGATTTCAAGACAGGCAAGTCATGATTAATAGCAGGGCTGGGAGGAGGCAGGACTGGTGGGACAATATTCCCAGGGCCCTGGCTTACAAGGGACCAAAACTGGAATCAATTTACAGCGGTATTAATGCTATAAAAAAATAGCAGGGAGTTTCTGCGAGAAATGGTTTATTGCATAATCTTTCCAAGTACACATGCTGGTGAGCAGCATGTAGGTACCTGAAGAGATCTGGCTTTACAACCTCTCCTCTTAATAACCTTTTAAATCCCTATCAAAAAATAGATGGATTAAACAAAAAAAAGCATTAGCCACATGTAGCTGCACTTACTTGTTTTGTCCCAAAGTTTTCCTTGGTAGCGGCAGAATCTTCTGTAAATCAAAAATACCAGCAGATGATCAGGAAACTTTGATTAACATAAAACCTTCAGTATATACAATAAGAGAAATGTGTTCATTTTCTCAACACTGATGGAAAAAACTGCAAGTGTAGTATAGAGCCTTTTTAGCATCCTGTACTTGGAAACAAACAAATAAAAATTCAGGCTTCTGCTGCTGAGTAGGCTCTTTAGAAATATACATAAAACTTGGGTCCAGCGTTGGCAAACAATTACAGTGTGAGAAAGCAACCTGTCCCAAAGTCTTGCCCTTTACCACATGATTTTCCCTCTTCTAGGCATCTTTCCTTACTCAGCATCCATCCTTAATATTTCCTGTACTCACGCTAATAATTCTCTGTCCTTTACTGAGGTCCAGAACAAGCCAGTAGAAGGCAAGCTGTGTAGGGTTTTGGAGGAATATACAGCATCAAGAAGCGAATAGGAAATACACCAGTGCAGCTGAGTGTGGCTAAGCACCTGGAGGGAGTTTGGTTGGCTTAACAGCAAAGTGATAGTTAAAAAGATGGGGTGAAAAAGAGAAGCTAGACCAGAGAACTAGTGAGGCAGGAGCAGCGAGATTTCTTGGAGGACAAGGAAGTAACAGAAGCTGAAAGGGACTTGGCCTCCTTTGTGGTAGTATGAAAGTTACGTGCACAATAACTCCGTAAGAAAGCATTTATGTGGTGAGGACTTCAGCTCAGCTTGCAGTTTTGTCAGATGAGTCTTTTTTGCTTTTATAAGCAGACTATGAGAATAGTCCTTCTAAGGCTGTTACTCTACTCGGCCAGAATATGGTCACCTCATATGGAAATCAGAGAAGTTGCTCGTATCCTGTGGTGGGAAAATGAGTCACAAGACTTTTCAGTGCCACCTAGCCACAGCTGCAGTGTATGCAACCCCTCCTCATCTTTCCTCTTTAAGCCAGTTAGCTTCTCCATTTTCTTTGACAGCCAAAATGTCAGGTAAGGTCTGTTTTCCATGTTGTCAATCTTTGTGCTATGGTGCTGAATTAGTGCTGAAGTCTCTGGCAGACTGTTTTTTTATCCTTATTGCTTTTGAGGTCTGCAGGTGAAAATTCCCCTGCAGCCTAGTATACAGGTTTACAGGTGTACAGGTGATTGAAAAATCCAGTCTGGGATTTTTCAAGTCCACAGAGGGAAAACAGGAAATAGTTGGACCTCAACTGTGCCAAAAGAAAAAAAAACATGAAAAGTGAGGGAGAAAGAGATTTAAATATATGAATCAAAGGGAATAAAGGCTACATGTAAGAAGGCACAATTCAGGAAAAGAAGATAGAAAGAGACAAAAGAAGAAGGAAAGGGACACAAGGAGAACAGGATCAGAATAGTGGTGAGAAACAGGGGTGAGACTATGTCTTGATTATTTTAATACAATACACTTGGCAAACCCTTAATTGCTGCTAAGTTGTTAAATTATTCCTCTATCTGGAGTATTGATCCAGAATTTTATTAGCGTGCTGGGATTACAGACATTATAAAGTTCCAAACTATGTGATAGCCTGGCTCAAGATTTAAGAGTACTTTATAGCATCACTTCACCTACTTCCAATTTATTTTGGTACTCCTTATTTCAACTGTAACAGGCTTAGGATTTGTGAATGTTAGCTACCATGCAGTTGCTAGACCAAGAAATTTTGAGATTTCATGAAGTGCAGGTTTTCTCCTTCATAGAATCATAGAATGGTTTGGGTTGGAAGGGACCTTAAAGATCATCTAGTTCCAACCCCCCTGCCACGGGCAGGGACACCTTCCACTAGACCAGGTTGCTCAAAGCCCC